ACACACACACACACACACAGTTTGGACGTGTATACGCATGGTGTTCTTATATATTCTTTCAGTGTATATATATATATGTTTGAAATCCCAATACATGTATATTTGTATCATCATTTTTCACATGCCCTTTTTGGGTCATATACATTATCAAAAAAATGTGTATTGCCTAGGTAAAGTCTGTTCCAAGAATTTCCTGTCAGCACTCTTTAACATTCTTTTCCGGAACTGCCTGGTGAGTTCTGCCGAAGCTATCGCAACTTGACCGTATTCGCTATTGTCCACCCATGAATTGCAGAAGATGGTTCTATCTGATGCTTATTGGAATATTGATTAAGGCTTAATACGATACTACACGCACGTTTTCGTGTGATAAATATCAAGGTGGCATTCTGAAACCCAATAATTCCCTAATGAACTGCAGAAAATGGCTTTGTTTGGACCTATGCGACCGAAGTTGCTGGAATTGAATACCTTCGAAATCTTACATAGAGCCCTGGCCGATAACCTTGACTGTGTGAACGATGTTGTTGCCGAGTGTTCTTCGGCCTTCATAAGCAATATGTCGATGAGTACTAATCAGAGACTGCCGGAAGCAAGGGATTGGGCGGAGACTATCTCACCCCATGTCACTACCATGCTAGAGGTGTGTATTTGTAGTGAGGCGTACGAAGCTATTCGTCGATGGAGGACTAATATGTACTGAATAATATATGACTACACTTAATTCAAGGCGGGCCACTATTTTTTAACTTTATCGATTCGTATTGGAGACATATGTAAACGATTGCAGAGCTCACGTACGTATACGATTGTTGTAAAACAAATGCATGCAGCCGAGTATGTCAACTGAAATACGCACTACGTTCAAAACGAAGAAAATCGAGAATACTCCCTTGATGAACACACCACGATCGTGCGGTAGTGTGCATAAGGGTTGTACTCACATATTGCACATATGTCATACAGGTCATGAGCATTGTTGGCGAGAAGGGATACGATGAGATGGCTGTACTACATGCGTACGGTTACGCTATAGGTAAGTGTTTCGTAGAATCCACCTTGTCTTTGGTAGTGAGATTTTTAGACTCCACGATATAGCGCTCAAAGTCCACTCGATACTTCACATGTTTTCTCGTGGTGACTACTATTTTGCATACTGACTGCTCTACCAATATTGTTTATTTGCACCAGCTTCTATGTGCGAACAGCCAGTCACATTAAAGCAGTTGTTGGTTAAGTCCTCCCACCAGCGCTATGTAATGAAATTTCTCATGCAGCACTCGCGGGGAGAGGATCGGGATGCCGCCCAGAGTATGGTTCCCAAGTAAGTATACGACAGCGACAGTGACTATCCATCTCTGTATCACAATACGTGTACAGCAATGGATTTGCCCTTTCTTGTTTTGCGGCGGATGTGTATATTTTCTGCAGGCATACAGGAAGGTATATCAGTCTCTGCGCAGAGAAGTATTTATCGCAGAGCTACATGCTCGATCAAAGATTCGTAGGCCTGTATTTATTCACATGCACATGTTGTATTAAACGAACTTATAATCAGAATTTTATTCGCTGCAGGCTTTGCATCAAGTCGCTGATTATATTGGTCAGAGCCGCTCTAGATAGTACGGAAGGCAGCAACGAAGAATTCCTGCCTGGATTTGACGACGACATCGCTAAGGAAGCACTGGAGATTTTATTCAAGTGGCATATAGGTAAGTAGCTGTGAAAAAAATTAGGGTTTAGGGTTTAAAGTATATCGCAGTACATCGCTAAGGAAGTACCGGAGATTCTATTCAGATGGCATCTATGTAAGTAGCTATAGTAGGGTGTAGGATTTAAGAATTTAGGTTTTAGGGTTAGGAGCTCTGGACGTCCTATTCAGACGGCAACTAGGTAAGAAATCATATGTAGTAGAGTGGTCTGTAGTATCGCGCGACGAGTGTGTATCTGTAAGACTTGAACAAGACTTAAACAGCTTCACTGATGCTATTTGGCTCAGCAACCTTCACATACCATCACGGGCTTTATTTCAAGCATATGCGAGATCTTGAGCTATGCCTTTACTAAATACAAGCCGTCTGGCTTACCACGCCTCACGCATCTAATAGCTCTTGAGTATCACGCATGTATGGATATCAGAGCTGGCATTTAGTTGTCAGTAGCGGCTAGTCATGTCGAGCCTATCTAGTATTAGAGTGTTTTAGCTCGACCCGTAGAACTTATTATCGCTATCCGGTCTTTTTATTCATTCGTTAAACTCACACCGATCGCTTTTTTACTTACAGAATACTACCCTTGGATCTGGGTGCACAAGCCCTCGGTGGCACAGATGATGCCCAACCTGCTGGGAGAATATGTGAACATCCGGTCGGACTGTACCAAGATATGCCAAATTTGGGCATCAAAGAATGCGTACCGATCTACTGACGAGGCTGTGGACAAGCCGATTGTATTTGAAGCCTGCTGCGCTGTGGTCAGAGAGATGCTCGCAACACCCGCCGATGTATGTATGCATTCATGGTTAGTGTACAACTGTTCCAGGCGCAGCTAATCTGTGAGCGTCCCAGATGACCCTGACGGTAATCTGCCCTGCACAGGGCTGGTTGTTCATTTGCGCACGCGCATGCCTTGTGATGATGTGCGCTTAATGTTGATTAGTTTAGTTGCATCTTTCGCTCAAGTCGGGAAGATAGTCGGGTTTGCGTAGGTGAACAGGTGCATATTGTCAGCTCATGTAGGTTGCTCACCTCGTGGTTGATCTCTTGTAGAGGTTTTGTACGGCGAACTTGTAAGTAAACCACTCACTATGATTTTCTCGGCTGGTCACGGTAGACTGCACGTTAGAAAACAGAGTAAGTTGTTATACCTTTGCCGCTTTCCGCTTGCGGCCTAGGAACGATACTGTCAACGATCCAAGTGGTATTACGTCAACTTTATACCACTGGTCAGTGATCAGTTTCGATTGGCTCGATTTCTCTTCAGCGCATGGATGGATGTTGCTCTGCTAACAATTACGAACTTCACTAAAGACTATTCCCACCGCAACGACCACAACATTGAACTACTATACGCCACGGCTGAAATAACTCAATTATCACACCCATTTGTGCGTAGAAATTGCCAATGACTGTTGACAACGGCGGTCTCCGCATCGGAATCTTCTCCGTGAGCCCTAAGTAAGTGCCTGTCCATGTACACCGCCATTTTGTTTTTGTTGGCAGAGATAGCTATGCCTGTTATTGTTGCATTGAAGGCCATAGATAGTATGTGAGGAACACGTCTAGGACGCATAGGTACGTTTCTCAAGCCACACCTATCTGTTATAGCGGAAGAGAAGAGAAAAACCGCGAGCTTGTGCGCAAAACCACCGATTTGTGATCTAGCGAAGTTTGATTGGATCAGTGGTTTTCAGACTTAGTCATAGAAAGTATATCGGGCGGACGCGAAAGCATAGGCAGTATGCTGTAAAGCTTGGTATGAACAGGACAACAGGCGTAACCGTAAACAACTATGGAAGTTTGCATGAATTCAAGACTTACTGCACAATATCAGGATAAGGCCGATTGTAGGGTCTGTAAAGCATGCGTCTGAGTGCACCTCCTGTGATAAAAACTATACTCTCACGCTTTTGCACCCATTACACAGCTACGACTTCTATGTCAAGTTCGCGGCGGAGACGGGTCTGGGTGACTTATCCTAGACCCGACGATTGGGCTTAAATGTGAAGTTCATCGAGCCAGCAACTAGCATGTGGGTATACCCGAGGTTTTGCGAGAAAAGTGTTTGCTGGCCATGATACCAGCATCGAAGCGACAACTTCTATGATAAGATTTAAGTTGCCCTAATTCTACATATTAATAAATAAAACACTTAGAATAGTTCTTCGATCTGACATGGGGGCTTAGATTGTTCAAGTGAATTCTTCTCCTTCAAACCTGGTAAAATGGTTCCTTCTTATAATATAAAACTTCGAGTCGACGACAACATTTGCTCAGATTGTATACAAGGTGCCCATGTATGACAATTTTAGTGGATTTGATAGGACTTCCTAATTCATTATATTCAACTTACAACTATTGACATCAACTTTGCATCGACTTCTAGTCATGAAGATGAGTACACACACACACACATACACACGCGCGCACACACACACACACACAAACATAAATAATAAATAATAAATACACACACACACATATATATATATATATATATATAATATATATATATATATATATATAATATATATATATATATATATCATACATATATACAGATATACATATATAATATCTG